CCATGCATCAGACAATTCGTGGTGGCCTTGACTTCATGGGGGTTTTACACTCCCACCCGCTTTTCCTCACCCCGTCTTGCGCTAGCTTCATGCATCGTAGTGGTCTCAAATTGTTGAGAGGCTATCACTTCCTAGCTGCACATTCCCTAGAACATGGTTATCATTTGTTTAGCTTGCGTCCCAAATGTCACTATTTCCACCACACGCTATGGGAGCTGGGCCTACAAATTTCGGAGAACCACCCTTTTGCACTCAGCGCGGCAATCTGGAATTGCGAGAGTAACGAGGACTTCGTAGGACGGCTTTCTCGATTATCGCGCCGAGTAAGTCCGAAAAAGTGCGGCGAACGGGTGATCGACCGGTACCTAGTAGCTACGAAGCTCCTCTTCAGGAGAGCTGGCGTTTAGTTTCCTGCTTGCTTGTTGAACTGCGAGAAGCCCAAATTGTAATCTCGTTAGAACAGAAGAACAGATTAACTGGTTTAGAGGTCGTCTTTGGGGGTGTACCTAATATGGGCAAGCTAGCTGTGCAACGTGGTCATTGTAGGTTCTACCGAACCCTTACTATACTAAGTATTAACCTTATAAGCCTTAAGTCCTAAACCCTGAACCTTCAAAACTTTGGGTTTCGGTCGAGCAGCACTATCTGAACTATATGACTGGATCCCCTCGATCAATGCCTCCAAAACTGCGAAATCCAATATCACGGCCAAGCTTGAACCCTCTTAATGTATATAGAGAACCATGACAAGCTGGAAGCTGACAAGGTGCGGTCGAGTAGCGAAGTTCTTCGGCAGCCGCGGTGCCAGTGTTGCCATACATTCTATATAGTTTAGGGTTTGGGGTTTAGAGCTATACACCCTATACATATAACTATATGTACTTTGTAAGGAAGAGTGGTAACGCTGGCTCCTGGCTGCATGCACTGGGCATGCCTGCGGATTTCAGACGCTTAGGATTCAAGCTTCGGCGGCCTGATAATTAAGCGCCTAAACCCGCCCCCGGTTTAGGGTTTAGGATTTAGGGGTTTAGGGGTTTAAGGGTTTCTGGTTTAGTGGTTTAGGGGTTTAGGAGTTTAGGGTTTAGGGTTTAGGGGTTGGGGTGTAGGATAGGTATATGTATATATATATATGGGTTTTTATATAGGTGGTTTGGGGTCAATTTACACCTGTAGAATGCAAAGCCTTCATCTTGAATTCTAAACAAGCTTGATTGAAGAAAGCGCCGTCCCAGTTGTTTTTCAAGGATCTGACGATGGTGCTGCGCAAAATCGGTAGTTAGGGGTTTCTTGATCGGTTTTTGGGCTTTGAAGCTGCTTGATGGCGGCGGATACCACCGAGGCTTCGGAGCAAGGGTTGTCGGGCATTAGAGACCACAAACCCTGAACGAACAAGCCATTAACCCTCAACCTTTCCAGTTGA